AATTTTCATTAATTTTCATCAAACTGAAATGACTATCTGGTTCATGGCACGTACTCACAAATATGGAGTTACAAAAGGTGCATCTATATACTCACCATAACCTCCTCGGTTAGTCGTCCGAAACACGGAAAGAATGATCGAAGTAACTGAATTAAGTTCTAGGTGTCATGATATGCACTCGTTTATATCACTCCGTAATTGCAACCCCCTTAGTCAGATGAAGATGTATTGCATACACCACCATCCTCAGTCAGATATGACCTAATCGTATGATCAGCGCGAATGCACATCATCGCTATTTCAATCAATTCCGCCAGGACTATCACTTTCGCATGCCAACTGGTATCGATACTTCTCAAAAGCGATGAGTCTCCAACAGACTACCGTTATTTTTGCGCTTCTCAGCCTCCAGTTTATCCTGGCAGGATACCATGTGCTGCCCTAATGGGACCAGTATGTTGTTCTGTATACTGTCACTCAAACCAATAATGGCAGATGTTCTAAAACTCCTCCAACGCTAACGATTCGCACACCTCAAACACACTTTTACAGTCAACGACTCCGTCAGTCAATGTTGGGTCACTGCACCCTTTCACACTTAAGCGGCGAAATTATTTTTTCTGGTCATGCACACCCGCGCTGTCCGGTGCATTAAAGTCCTCCAATGACTGGTTTCATCCTACTCTATCTGCGTGTTGTATTTGGCAAGCAAATGCACACGCATATCGGTAGTTTGCAAAAACGATGAATCCCCTACAGACCCGTTAGTTTTATTTTTCTCAACCTCTAATCAAGAAGTATATTGAATGTTAGTCACAACGAACAGCGGTTATCTTAGTGCTTCCACGTAACCCTTTCATTCTACTGACCGTCCCGATCCGGCCCTAGTTTTCCGTTCCTTTGTTACACAGTCAACTCACTGCACATGTTGCGCCTTAGAGATGCAAACGAACAATCGCTTAGTTTATCCGTCATAGCAGCCGTACTCAGCTCAGCTGTAATACAGGTCAACCTAGACCACTGCACATGTAGGTCAAAATGCTTTGGCAGTGGCTACTATCTTTGTGCGTGTATGCACGTGATCACGCGATGTTGAGGGGATGAAAACTATGACCCGTATGGTGCATGTGAAATACCTTGAACGCATGCAGAATCTTACTGCAAAATATCTTTCACGTCGGCCATTTTGAGTATTGTCAATGAAGCAGCAAATCAGATACTGCGGCTCCCTAACTCCAAGAAAACTTGATAAATACTCCACCAAGATGCGGTATTCTACCACTTGGTCGTTCTTTTACTTATTGCTCTGTCTAGATTAGACTGACCACACATGACGCGCAAACTACATATGCGCCGGTTTTCTTTCCCAACTGTCCACCAGTGACTACGTTGAAAAATTATAAGCGGAAAACAATAGTAAGGGCAATCGGGTTGTGTTGGTCTTCAGAAGAACGCGGTTTTTGCCACTCAATAGGTATGCGCGCCCGGTACACGTTTACATATTACTGTCAACATGAGCGCTTGCACATGCAGAGCCATTGTTCGTTGGGTTAGCAGTGACCCAGATACGAATAACTGACAGAAATCACAGTTGTGATTCATTTGTGGACTCTTCAATGAAGAGTATCCATCCACACCCCAGGCGCATCAAATTAGATCCTAGTAAAGATATAACATCGGAGTGCATAAGTATGAAAATGAGTGGGGAGAGGGGTACCGGGTACGCATACCTGATGAGCGGCAACAACCGCGAAACCGGTCGTGTGTTTCCGCGGAAATTTCGTTCACACACTTACATACTACCTGCTATCGATATATATATATATATATATCACCGGTTTGAGAACAAGGATGGTGCCAGCACAACAACAACGGAAAAAACTGCAAAGTCAGGGTGGTTAGGAGTCAACACAAAGATTCCAACAAGTAAAAGCAAGTTTTTCCTAAATATTTTCGCCGTATATATTTCGTAATTTTTTGTCTGTTTTCCAATTGTTTATGGGGGTTTAGAAAGTTAACAGACAGGCCATACAGCATTCTTGCTACTGGATTCGATTAAGAGTCATATCTCTCAGTGCCTCTAACCAACAGCAATCCTCGTCTCTTGGGCCCCAACCAAGAAGACAAGAAGCACCAACCAAAGTCAAAGCCGAAGTTAACTTCTTCATGTCCCTGCGCCGAGTCATAACCTGACCGCTGCGCCGCTTCTCCCAGTCTTGCCCAACATTCGTAAACGATGAGCAGGCATCGGAGGCGGTATAGAACGATTATGTTTGCCAGAGGATGACTATCAGCACCGAACACACGACGACGAACCTCGTCATTGTTTACCCGATGTTCCCACCAGACATGAGCGATGCTTCGGAGAATCGGTGGTCGAATACAGAAAGCCGCCGAGCATCCTCAGAGCGGAGAGGCCATGTCTCGCAACCGTAAAGAACACTGCGAACAGTGGCACTGTACACCCTTCCCTTGAGGGAAAGTCGGATGTCATGACGGCGCCACAGATGGCGCAGGCTTATGAAAGCTGCTCTGGCTCTCATGATTCGTGATGTGATCTCCCCAACACCATTACCTGTGATTCAGCTCCTGCTGTACTTAAAACTATTGACTACCTCTAACCGATCACCACTAAGGATGAGTGCAGGCACAAGCTCCTGCCAGTATTGAAGAAGTACTTTGCACTTTGAAGGGGCAAAGCACATACCATATCGGGACACCTCAGTCGCCAAGCGGTATAATGCCTGTGCACTGTCACTCAGCAAGGCGATATCATTGGTGTAATCTAAGTCAAGAACTCCGTTCCCTGGGAGGAGTTCAATCCCACCGTTTGGAAGACCAGAAAAAGCGTTCTGTAGGACATCCGCTATAACAATGTTGAAGAGAAACGAGGGTTTAGGGCATTCTTGTCATACTCCACTGGAGACGGCAAAGGGTGGCGAAAGCTGGCCATTGGCCTTAAACCGACCTGAGGTGTGACGATACAACTCTTTGAGGACCGACACAATTTTCGAGTAAACCATTCCTTAACAGACGGTGCCATAGTGCAAACCTACCGATGAAGTCAAAGGCCGCCAGAATGTCTAGAAACACAACGGTCGTTGGCTTTGAAAGGCGTAACGATGCTTTAACAGCTGTCGGAGAGTGAAGATTTGATCGATGCATCCACGACCGGTACGAAACACAACCAATTCCTCGCGAGTTCGCTCATCACGCGAGTTGTGCAACCTGCGAAGAATGACAGACACTAACAGCTTCGACGCTATCGGGATCAGGCTCGTACCCTTAAGGTTGGTCGTACTGGAGTGGAAGCCCATCTGCCTGAATTAATCATTCTTCGACTGATTTTACCGATTAAGTTGTCAGCACAAACATACCCCCAACGTGAAGGACTAGAAGACTGCATCGTCAGCCCACTACTCGCTGACCTTCCATGTATGATTGAATCTTCGGATTGAGATAGGCCGCCCTTTATAGCTCATTGGGCAACTGAGGCGCGCAAACCAGCACACCAAGTCAAGGTGCAGTCTCACTGCGACGATTGAGGGGCAACGCTTGTAGGTCAGTACAATTGGGTAGAATGGGCATTCCGGAATAAATGCTCGGACGCATAATTTATTTGGTTGAGGCTTCAGCTTACTGGGATGAAAGAATAGTTTCACCCAACCGCGTGTTAGAGGTTAATAATAACAATTAGCCGGTGGGAGACGGCTCTGATGTAGCTCGGCTCATTAACACGCCTGATCCATTGATGCTTTTCTTGATTCGCCACTCCAACTGTCGAGATTAGGGTTTCCGGTTCTCCTCAAAACAAACATGGTAATGCACAATCATACAAACATTCTCTTTCACTTTTGGTCCGCACATTTGCAAACAGATCAGACACTCATTATTCTTACCAGCATTCGTCGACTGGACCGCAACATGGATTCTGTACAGTAATTTAGCCAATCTTCTTCTTTGCCCTACTTTTGACCGAGACCGAAACCTCCCCTTCAGTTCCCCAATTACACTTCCCATCCCTTCTTTCTACCCAAAGCCAGTGTCTGCGCCTTTGTCCACCCATCAGCCACTACTTCCTGAGTGCCATATCTTGACTTTTCCTCTTGCGACTTTCAACTAATGTGGCTCGAAATCTGTTTGTCCTCCTTTAATTATTACTTTTGTGTTGTTTATGGATCTCCTGACAGCGGTACCTCTATCTTTGATTCCTTATCTTAAAACATGGAGAGTTCATTTGCTGCGGACTCCAACTTCAATGTTCTCAACCGGAAATGGTTGGTGCACTCTTCTGACATTTTGGCTTTGGGCACAAATCCGAAACCTTTGTTATAGTCAACAACCTGAGTCAAGTAGTTGACCTCCCTACCTATCCCCGACTGATCCGAGATCGTCAATCCAATCCGCGCTTTTGCCGATGATGTCACCATAGATTGTTCTGCCATGCCACCACCAATATCGATCGTGATCTTAGTGTTCGCGGTGTATCACTGGGTTCTGACCTCGAACACATCTCATGAAGCTTCTACAATAATGCTGGTTTCAATACTTCCAAACCAACCCTCCTCTCAATTTCCATTAAACGTCATTTGTTCTCTCCGCCTTTATCTTTTGATTCAATGCACTTGCATTCTGCAGTCTACGTTCCTTCTAGATTCATCCATAACGTGTTCACTGTGTTGGTCCCCCTTCATATCTGAGCTTTCTTCTCGTGCTGCTCATAAGGTTGGTTCTCTATTCGGCATCAGATGTCTCTTTTCCCCAGCCCTCCTTCTCCTATTGTACAATGCTCGAATTCACCCCACACTCGAATACTACATCCAAGTGTCGGGGCCGGGCTTCGTCTTCTAAACTTTCTTGTCTTGACCAGATTCAGCTTCATTGCCGTAAATCACTGTGTGGGAAAAAATACGTACAAATTTGGATTTACCAACTTCAAAAAAAAACATTAAATAAAGATCAAAATAACCATTGCACAAAGTTAAGTACGAACAACTCACCCGGCTTCCCCGTTATCAAAAGTAAGGCATTTCTGTGTTGCGCCAATTCCATTGACTGAAAATGTGCGTTAGATTCCAGAGACCTATAAGAATGAAACAACGCGAACAAAAAACAAACACTGGACTTCGTGGCTCGACATTTAGACCAACCGACTTTAAAGAAACGTTTTTAGAGTGAAAACGAAATTGCATTTCCGTGAAAGCATCGCAATGAGCACACTCCATAGCCTTGAAAGCCCACTGTAGTATTAGGAATAGCCGGCGACTTAAACCCAAGGCCCGAACAACAAAGCCAGTTCGTCAAGGACCCTTGTAAATCCTTGAATTACACACGTTAAATATATATATATATATATATATATATATATATATATATATATATATATATATATATATATATATATGTATATATATATCCCGCAACATAGACGTAAAATCCCAAATACTTTTACAATAGTTTCGTTTTATATTTCTCATACACCATTATCAGAAGTGTCGTTTTACCGTTACAATAAATATACCACCGTACATAGGCTAGTGACGACCGTAAGCCTGACCCAGAGCCATCCGTTTTGACAGTCTGCCCAGCCGTCCCTGAATTACTCATTGATTACTCTCAGCTCTAGGTTCGCGTGCTGAGAACAGAGCTTGGAACGTACAGGATCACAAGCGAGTGTACTTGTTACTAGTGAATTAATGGCCGTCTTCCCCGTGACGTTGCTGCCCAGATAAGCGACGTCATTTTCAACGACTATTCTTACACAGCCGTGGGAGAAGCGGTCACTTTGTTATGACTCTAGCGAAATCCGAGCACTCAATCTCAGCTTGCGACTCCCGATCGCTCCAGCCAGCTACGAAAAATCAGAAGGCAAAACCCGACTCGCCAAAGACGTGTCATTAACAGAAATTACTGTGCTGTATACAAAGCGAAAATCGAATATTCCCAAAATCGGGCGTCCAGTTAGATTCAAGCAACGTGGGCCGATTAGGTTGATAACAATATTTTGCCGGATTGACCATGGATCCGTTGGCCCAATTTGCGTCGGACTGCAAACGAATACTCGATTAGCAAAAAAAGTTACGTCATGAGTCGTCCGATAATTTGTTGATCATTGATTGTTCAATCCGGCCTGATACACTCGATCTGATTCATGGCTTGTCTAAAAAACAAATGTTATTTTGTTTTACTATACTAACACCTCCCCTTTTTGGTGGTTATCTGAAGCTTGGTCCTTGTGGGTCCATCTGAAACTGTCGGGTTTGTCTTCTCGGTCGGTCTGACCATCGCCTTGGTAGCAAGTCTGTGTCTGGGGTTGTCTTTGATGGCTCTGGTGTGGGTAGTTTGGAGGTGCCCGATAGGATTTCCAATAGAATGTGCTGTTTGTGCGGTCAATCCTGGGGTTTGTCATTGCGGCTGCGGACTTGGTTCTGGTGTCTGACCCATATTTCGTCATTACCGGATACTTCGTACAGTTTTGTTCTACGGCGATGCCTGATCACTCCTGCGGCCCACATCGGTTTTGTGGATCGGTAGTCTCTTGCATACACAGCTGAGCACACGGCAAATCCTTTGCTCTACACCATAATTTGTTGAGGTCTTGTCGGAAACAGAGCATTGTGGATGGTCCTTGGTTTTCGACCCATCAGAACCTATGCCGGAGATAGTACCTGAGATGTTGGGGCATTTGGCGTTGTGCGGTACACAAACAGGAATTGCTGTAGGATTTCATCTGGTGTTTTGTCCCCCCGCGATTTGAGCAGTCCCCTCATGAATGTGTCCATGAACCGTTCAGCCTAGCCATTGGATTGTAGGTGGTATAGCGGCGAGAACGTGTGTTCAATGTTGTTTTGTTGACAACAGTCGTGGGACATGGCGGAGGTGAACTGTGAGCGGTTGTCAGATACGATCTGGTCAGGCAAGCCGTGTCGTGCGAAAATCTTTCGTAGTGCCGCGATTGTTCCATATGAAGTTAGTGGGTCGACTGAGAGGATTTCTGGTCATTTTGATAAGGCATGAACGACAACTAAGTAGTGGGTTCCATCAATAGGGCCAGTGAAGTCGATGTGAAGTCTCGCCATGGTCGGTCTGGTGTTGGCCACGATACAGGCGGTTGGTGTGGGGACATCTGCTGCTCGTTGACACTTAGCATTGGTCACAAAACTGCCGAGCATCGTTCGACCATATGAAACGAATGCTAACGTCAAAACTACTACTCACACATTACAACCCGAAACTTCCGATCATTCTTGCTGCGGATGCATCAAACTATGTAGTCGGTGTAGTGATCTCACACGTGTTCCCCGACGGGTCAGAAAAGGCAATCGCCCATGCCTCTTGCACCCTAACGCCGACAGAGAAGAACTACGGACAAATTGAGAAACAAGCCCTAGCTATTGTATTCGAATTCAAGAAGTTTCACAAATTTCTGCATGCCAGATAATTTACGCTACTCACGGATCATAAGCCGCTCTTGTCAGTCTTCGGTACAAAGAAAGGCATACCGGTATACTCAGCCAGTCGACCTCAGAGATGGGCCACGATCCTGCTAGGCTGCAAGGCTGCGGTTCCGGATACACCAGCGATCATTGTGTCGATCACTCGTTGGAAAATCGCGGGGGCGGTTTTTGTTCCGAACGGTAGGCGTGTAAATTGGTATAACCCCCGATGGATGTTTATCGACAGCAGATGTCGGGATTCAGGTGCCACTTCTATCTGGCAGTATCCTTCGGCTAGATCGAGTTTTGCGAAACAAGTACCGCCGACGCGACTCACTCTCGACTGTCGACTCCTGCCTCTTGTCAGCACAGAGTCGTGATACCGGCATCACTACGACAATTCCACACCAGTTATCCGGGGATCAACAGAATGAAAGCCATCGCTCGAAGTTATACTTATGGCCCGGCATGGATGAGGACATCCAAAATGTAGTACGACAATCTTCTAAGTGTCAACGAGCAGCAAAGATGCCCCCACACCAACCGCCTGTATCGTGGCCAACACCAGATCGACCATGGCGAGACTTCACATCGACTTCGCAAGATGCTGTTGCAGGACCGGGTGGGTCAAACGCCAAACCTTTCAGTGCCTGGGGAGACTATAAACGTGGTAGACAAGTTTTGTTATCTGGGGAGCTGCATCTCACTCGGAGGTCGGATATCGGGTGAAGGGTCTCTGCGCATACAGAAGGCTCGATTGGCATTTGCCAACCTGAGTCATCTGTGGCGTCCACATGACATACGTTTACCTATCAAAGGCCGAGTGTACGCTGCAGCAGTTGGACCCGTACTTCTGTATGGTTTGGAGACATGGCCACTGCGGGTGGAGGACATACGAAGTTTGTCGGTATTTGAACACCGATGTCCTCATAGTATTGAGCGACTATGGTGGGAACACCGTGTGAGCAAGGCTGAGATTCGGCGGAAAGTCTTAGGTTTAGGGATCAAATCATTAGACGAAACACTTAAGCTCGCCAGGCAAATATGGTTGGGACGTGTTACGCGCTTCCCCTGACAGGATTCCTCGGCGTGCTGTTTGCTGAGGCGGGTACCGGTTGGAAGATGACTAAGGATGGTTAGCCCATGATATGGAGGAAAGATATGACAAGCCCAACTAGTAGACTTGGCCGTGTAATGTGTGCTAGACTTCCTGTGAGGGGTCCAAGAGACCCTCCCACTCAACGGTTAGATGATTTGGGGGATATGACTAGATGCCGCGATCAGTAGCGCTCTTGCATCTACAAACTCTCTTCATCGAGTCAATTCCATCAATGTAGCTCTCCTCCTACGCCTCCCATACTCTTTTCTCCTTCATTATTTCCTTTTGAGATTGCCGCTAGGAGATAGCAACCAAAGCCACCGCACCCAATGCATGGTTAATGGTTGTCAGAACAGAACAGAACAGGCTTTTTTCCGTAACCAGCTCGTATTTCTCTGTGAACCACGTCACGCCCCTATACACCGAACCTCAGACCAAATCCCCTACACAGAACTACTTCCAGCCTACCCAGCAGTGTTCAGGCAGTCCGGTCTCCTTCTCGCAGTGACTACTAACGTCATCCACCATATCGTCACAAAATGTCTCCCAGCTTCTAGCCAACCTCTTCATTCGGCACCGGACAAGCTCCGCGTAGCATAAACTGAGTTCGAACATATTCTAGAATTAGGCATAATACGCCCGTCCAGTAGCCTTTGGGCCTCGCCTCTTTACATAATTCCTAAACCTAATGACGACTGGCGTCCCTGTGGCGGCTATAGGGCCCTTAATCAAACTACGATCCCAGATAGATACCCCATTCCACATATTCAAGGTCTAACTTTCCTATCTGGTTGTTGTTTTCAGCCGCATCGACCTAGTCAGGGCTTACCATCACATCCCGCTATTCGAAGCTAACAACTCTAAAATTGCTGTCATAAGTCCATTCGGGCTATTCGAGTTTTTGCGCATGCCGTCCGAGTTCAGCAATGCAGCCCAAACTTATTGAAGGTTTACGCATAAATGAAAAAGCGCTTTGAAAAATTACCACGTATACTTAGACGAAATCGTGTTTTCCATTTCTTCGGAGAAAGAGTGCATGGCACACCTGCATGTTCTTTTCGAGCGCCTTAGCCAACGCGATTTATGCATAAACTCTGACAAATGCGAACCAGGCAGATCCACCATTGCATTCGTAGATCACGGTATTTGGGCCTCGGGGATACAACTTCTGCCAGACAAGACAGCGGTAACTCGTAACTATCCTGAGCCTCACTCTTACTGGCTGTTCGGTCAATTCTCTGGACTGGTTAACTTATATCGCCAGTTTATCCTCCGCTGCGACACAATAATGCAGCCTCTCACAGACTTTCTACGTGAAGGTAAGCGGAATTTAACATTTCCCGACACGGCACAAGCAGCAATTACGTTGATCGAGGAAGCCATCGACAACACAGCACTCCTTGTAGACCCCTACTCTTCTACTACTCTGACATTAGAGACAGACGCTTCAGACACGGCTGTTGGAGCAATGTTGTAACCATCTGTTAATAACTTATAGCAGCCAACAACTTTCTTTA